GCACACGGCCGGCTCATGGCCAGCTTTTCATCCGCTGGTAGCCTCTCATCCTTCTCCTGAGGGCTGCTCATTGTCCATGCTTCACCCAGCCTGCATGTGTGTTTGGGATTTCCCCAACCTGTGTGCAGGACCTTGCCCTTGGCCTTGTTGAACTCCATGCGGTTGGCACGGTCCCACCTCTCCAGCCCATAGGTGTCGACCTTGTTGCATTAAGGGGGAGGTAATTTTGGAACCAGTATGAAACCTGGGAAGTAACTCATGGCTGTGCTGCTTCAACTGGGCGTTTTTTGTATATTTTTTTTCCTGTCACAGATGAGTCTTTTAGGAGCATCTGTGTTCGGTTTTAGGTTTGTTTTGTAAATATATGATCAGCAGCTTGTATTGATACGGGCACATAAGGCAGTATTGCTTTGGTTTTAAGCCTTTACAAAGCCAAAATAGAATGCAGTTTATAAAGTTAAATCATTCTAACTTTACTGTGGATCTCTACCATTCGCAATATGGAAATGTGTTTTCGTAGAGACTGGTTTTGTTTGTGTTTTGATACAAGACTCTCTCATGCATTCCTCTGATCTTGGCTGTTGGAAATAGAGAGATCCCTTAATCCAATTCTTTTCATGCTCTGAAACCTTAGAATTTAAGGTTGACTATAAAATGGGGTATTCTATGAGCATTTGATTGTAGTAGGAGGAACAAATGTAATGTTTTTGATTTGGAGTATTTTCTTTTGCCCCAGGCTAGTTCTTTGGTTAACCAAATCCACTGTAATCCCATCAGGAGAATGTGGTGATCGTTTAGTAATTTATATTGTATGGTTTTCTTAATCCAGGTTCTGTCGTTGTAGCAGAAAATATGAATCCGAGCCCACCATATGACTTGGCTGTGTCCATATGGAAATAATAAACTGTGTAATAAATGGCCTCCTGTTGTACAATGCAACACTGAGGATGAGCTTCTTCCAAAGCAATTTTTCTTTCTAAAAATCAGACAAGCATAGAAATCATTCCCAATTTCAAGAGTCGTTTTCGGTGAAAAACTGATTAGCCCATTGTTAGGTAGAAGTCAGAAACCTTTCTGTTGAGGATGCTCGCCTGCACCTTACTGTCATGAATTACGGGAACTGGTGTGTCATTCCAAAAAAGGAATTGAACTTTGAGTGGGATTGTTCCATGTTTCAGCAAGGAGCTCTATCAGTGTCAAATTTATGTGGTTGCTCTCTGTGTGTGTGTTTGGAGGCCAGCTGTGACTTCCAGAGGGTGCCAACATCCGCTCAGAACTGCATGTTAAGTTGACACAGCTTTATTCTGATAGTCTTAAAGATACTGGGATTTGGGGTTCTTTTTTTCTCCTACTTTAACCACAGGAGGGCTAAGTTTCCCTGATGTTTTGAGATTGAAACTTGAAAGACTTTCCCTTTTGTTTTTTAAGGAGTTTTTGTAATTTGGAGACTTGTAAATAGTCCCCAGAATAAGTAGTAACTTTATAAGTAAGTTGTAAGTAAGTAGTTTATAATTATTAGCAGTGACAGTGATGTCGTGTTTCATTTGGTAATCTGAGGGTAGCAGCAACTCGGGGTTTGCATGGAGTCAGTGTGTTGAATCTTTTCATTTATGTTTGCATCCACGTGGGAGTTAACACTTGGGTAAAGTCAGCGTTTGAAGCCTTTCTCTTCACTACATGACCTTGAATGGTGGGTTTAATGATGAGAATAGTATCAGCAGTTTCAGTGTTGATGTAAACTGTGTAAGGAACCCAGATCAGCTGTGTAACAGTATGTATTTTCACTAGTTGATATTACTGTAATAATTCCCCTACGGATTCCAGCGTACATTGATACACTCAGGATGACAGATGACACGCACACAAATAAATGTTTGCAATCACTGAATGTAGAACACTGGTGAAATTTGGTCTTTTCACTTAATGGCTGTATTTTTATTAAGCTGTGCGGCTGCTCTCCTATTACAGATAGGAAATAGAAAAAGTGTAATGATGTTTAACAGTCTGACTGATATATTTTGTCCCTGTTTGTTGGGTGGGTTTTGCTAGTACAAGGTTTGGAGTGTTAAATGGAAGGTTTCCTTAAGGGAAATAGATCTCTTGGATCGGCTTGTTTATCCTGTGCTTTCTTTGAAAACCTGGTAAATCAACTGACCCTAATGTTAAATGGATTGGAATCTGGGATTTGGAAAGCTGTGCTAATTTTAGTTTTTTCTGTTCTTGTAGCTCAGATATCAGCATGGGCTCAGTACTCCAGATCTAAGGCAAACTCTTCCTAACCTGAAAAACTTCATGGAGCTTGGGCTAATGGTTAGATGGTAAGTATTTTTTTATAATTAGAAAGAGGTGGATGCTACAGAAAATTAAGCCCTACGATTTTTTTCACATCAAGCAGCTGCTCTTGATAAGAGTTAAGCATGCTTGGTGAAAATTGTGACTTCCCCAAAATACAGGCCATGTAAGGTCCACAATATTCTACTGTTTTCTTCTGTTCTTTTAACATCATGAGTTAAAAGAGTGTGTGTGTGTAAGACTGAAAAGCACTGTTCTTCACTAAAAGGAGGTGAATTAATCATTCTCTGAAGGCTCCTAAGGGTTGGTAGCAGAAGCACTGTCTGTATTATGATAGTCCAGGAGAGTAGAAAGGTGTAGCAGCCTTACGACAGGTCTTAACCTGGTCGGTAACTGGCTGCCCACTTGCTTTAATTGCATAATTCAGGTGAGCTGTGTGGGAATCTGTGAATTATAATCAGAACAATTAGTGTTGACTATAATCACTGCTGATGAACATAGCTGTTGCATGTTGAGTGTCGCTGCTAAATGGGAAGCTACATTAATAAGCAGGTGTTTGAGCATGAGGCTTTACGAGTTCTTAAGCCCACGGAGATAAATTTTGCTAAATGTGGAAGGCACAATTCACTAGCAGGTGTATTTCTGCAGGTGTTCGATGCTTTGTGTTCTTATTTTCTTTAAAATTGATGATCTTTGAATTGTGTGCACTCATGCAGCTCTTACCATAAGCAATTATTTTGTCCTGCTTCTCATCATCATTCTCATCAGAGGGCTGGAGCACCTCTGCTGTGATGAAAGGCTGAGAGAGTTGGGGGTGTTCAGCCTGGAGAAGAGAAGGCTCCGGGGAGACCTTATAGCACCTTCCAGTACCTGAAGGGGCTACAAGGAAGCTGGGAGGGGATTTTGTACAAGGGCTTGTCGTGACAGGACAAGGAGTAACGGGTTTAAACTGAAAGTGGGGAGGTTTAGATTGGACATGAGGAAGAAATTTTTCACGGGGAGGGTGGTGAAGCACTGGGACAGGTTGCCCAGAGAAGCTGTGGATGTCCCATCCCTGGATGTCTTCAAGGCCAGGCTGGATGAGGCTTGGAGCAACCTGGTCTAGTGGAAGGTGTCCCTGCCCATGGCAGGGGGTTGGAACTGGATGTTCTTTAAGGTCCCTTCCAACCCAAACCATTCTGTGATTCTATGATCTTCATTCTTTGGGTGCCTGAATCCCACTCAAACATCGTAGCACTGTGCCATTTTAGCATCTCTAGGTTAATATTCAATGCTTCGAAGTGGTACAGGTCTGGTGTGGTTCCTGTGTTATGCCTGACCCCATGCAGATACCCTGGATACTCCAGGGTTTTGAAAATATCATCCAGTCTGAGGTAACCCCGCCAGGTCTTGCTGCCAGATGCTCTGGTGATCGCTATGGATGCCCTCGCTGCTTCAATTAGTCTGAGAAACAATTTCTTTTGGCACAAATTATGCTAAATTGAAGTGAAAGAGTGCTTCCAGTCGTTTTAGTGGAAATTAGTTATTCCTAGTAAGATAAAAAACTGCAAAGCGCTAATAACCAAACCTTAATATTTTGGGCTAGTATGTGGCTTTTAGGGGAGACTCAAAACAAGACACGAACTAATTTTTAAATCTGATATGAAATGACATTAGACATTGTGGCACTGACAGTTCTTGAACAGTGGAGTTAAAGCTTTCTGGTGCTCTTTTGTCTGAATCCCTAATATGTTAAACCAGCAGAAGTAGCAGAGCCTAGTGATGGAAGTACTTGTCTGCAGTGAATGCAGAAGTAGTGTTACATGATAAATAGTTTTGGGTTGGAAGCTCTGAAAGTCTCATTTTTTTCCTGCAGTATGCAGAACACAGGAAGAACAACGCATGTTTGAAAGATAGTAGCCAAGATGCGGTTGGCCTTCTTGGCCACCTGGGCACACTGCTGGAGTATCCAGATACCCTGGATACTCCAGGGTATTGAAAATATCATCCAGTCTGAGGTAACCCCGCCAGGTCTTGCTGCCAGATGCTCTGGTGATCGCTATGGATGCCCTCGCTGCTTCAATTAGTCTGAGAAACAATTTCTTTTGGCACAAATTATGCTAAATTGAAGTGAAAGAGTGCTTCCAGTCGTTTTAGTGGAAATTAGTTATTCCTAGTAAGATAAAAAACTGCAAAGCGCTAATAACCAAACCTTAATATTTTGGGCTAGTATGTGGCTTTTAGGGGAGACTCAAAACAAGACACGAACTAATTTTTAAATCTGATATGAAATTACATTAGACATTGTGGCACTGACAGTTCTTGAACAGTGGAGTTAAAGCTTTCTGGTGCTCTTTTGTCTGAATCCCTAATATGTTAAACCAGCAGAAGTAGCAGAGCCTAGTGATGGAAGTACTTGTCTGCAGTGAATGCAGAAGTAGTGTTACATGATAAATAGTTTTGGGTTGGAAGCTCTGAAAGTCTCATTTTTTTCCTGCAGTATGCAGAACACAGGAAGAACAACGCATGTTTGAAAGATAGTAGGTGATCACACACCCTTTTATGCAGAAAAACCCCAAACCAAGCTTTTTGTTATTGCTCTATTTGAAAATTATGAGCAGGCTTCAAACAGGGTTAGTGCCTCGGAGTAGCACAGCTCAATCTATCAGACCTCTGGGACAAAAATTTGACTTCAGTGGCTAACAGCGATGAAAATCCTGTGGGACATCATCGTGCCACAGCTCTTGCCAGACCGTATTTCTGTGTCACCCTTTGCCTGTCTTATCTTTTATTCCTTGCGCAGAAATGCTGATCCATGTGAACTCAAAGCTGGTGTCTAAATCACTTATGTTGGGAGGAGAGTCTTGGCAAAGGAAAACAAAATACAGGAGTAGAAAAAGTATTATCTTTGAGTGGTACTGTAAAATGTGTTGCCTGATAGAAACACAGCTCAGCCAACATCACAGTGGAAGTAAACAAGGCCCTGAGAAAGGGAAGCTCAGCCCCTTGTGTGGTTTTATTCTGTCACTAATTTCAGACACAGCTGAAAAGCTTCTCCTAGCTTTTCTTATGCCCTTGCAAGATGCATAAAGAAAAGCTTTCTTCGTCAGGAAAACACTAATGTGAGTTTTGTGGGGTGTCCATCACTGTGGTGTAAAAATCTTAAGGTGATGTGTGGTCTCCTAAGCAAAACTGAAAATGAAGGGCCAACATACCTAACCCGTGACTTCTGTGACACTTGGGTGTATTCATCAGTGGAGTGGGGGGGGTGCAGATGGTGGATGTCTCCTTCAGTCTTGAATACACAGGTGGATGACTCTGGGACATGTTAAATGAGAATAGTTTTCAGGGCGTAGGTATCTCCTCTTCCCTTCTGGTGTGTGCTGGCGTTGAAGAACTGATAATGGAAGCGTTAATTATGCCTTTGACGTTTTCCCATCATACAATCAGGGTGGCTTTTTTTTCCTACAGGTGATGCACAGTCATTAGCAAGACTAAACACAGTTTTTGGCTGGATAATATTTCAAGACATGTAAGAATATTAAGCATAGTTCTCCGGGAGTATCATATTCCCTTCTTTCCACCCCTCCTCCAACCCCGCGAATGTCTATGCCTCATTTCCTTCTCACCTCCAAAACGTGTATGAATAGTTGTTCATTTTCAAGTTTTTTTTTTTTTAAGGCTAATGATTCTAAACAATGTTTCTTAGTACATCCTAATAATATAAATGGAAATGAGGCTTTACGGGGAGTCTAGCTCAAGGGGAAAACTGGCTAGACTTGCATAATCAGGCATTGCAGCTGAGCGCGTGCTTAGCAGAGTACAGGTGCCCACTGTCCTGTGGATGGTATCTGATTACATGTATTTAAGCAAGAGTAAAAGCCACCAGCTGTTAAAATCATAGAATGGTTTGGGTTGGAAGGGACCTTGAAGATCATCTAGTCCCACCCCCCCTGCCATGGGCAGGGATCCCTTCCACTAGACCAGGTTGCTCCAAGCCTCATCCAGCCTGGCCTTGAACACTTCCAGGGATGAGGCATCCACAGCTTCTCTGGGCAACCTGTGCCAGTGCTTTACCACCCTCTCCTTAAAGCATTTCTTCCTTATGTCCAATCTAAACCTGCCTGCTTTCAATTTAAACCTGTAAAATGAAGATTGGGAAGGCATTTTTTGTTTTCAGGTTACTGTGGGTGAGCCATCTGATACCCTCTGCCACCGACCGTGGTCAGTGAAGTATTTCCAGGTTATCTTTATTTGCGGGATGAGAGCAGGAACATGTGAGACAGTGACAGAGATTTTTTTAATGTACAGTTTGCCTTGCTCTACTGGTTGGTTTGGTTCTGCTGTTGCTGGTCTTCAGTTTCCTTCTTTAGCACTGTAGCTGGGTTTTGCTGAATTTAAATTTTGTTAAATCCTGTCAGTGTTAAACATGAACACTTCTTCTGTACTTGCTTTCTCTTTGAACAGGAGTGTTCTTAAGTCCTAGTTCATGCATACTCCTCGGTTTTGCCTTTGGGTAGAGACATCTGTATTTCTCTGCAGTCTGGAATGGAATTGAATCCCTTTAGATATTCAGGGTAACTAAAATATGTCGTTATTTCAGGCTTAACCTATTTCTCTGCTAAGCATCAGTTTAGGTTTGAGTACAAAATAATTTATTTACACCTTCAGATTAAAAACAAACAACCAACCCACAGCTTTTGCAGGAAAACCCACCTATTTTATACATCGACCAGAGCAAATTTGTCTTTAAAGCCTTTGCTTGAGGCTTTCATGAGCTCGGTTGTTCTGCCTGGAGCTCTGGGGCAGCCCTTGGCCCTGCTGAACTGAACGTCTGCGGAGCCCAGTGCCTTTGCATCGAGGTTTAATTGCGTGGCTGCTGGACCCTTCTGCCTGGTGAGATTTGTGTTGTTATGGTTTCTCAGGCATGACACTTCAATGATTAATGCATGTTTTCACATCCCAACATGCGTGATTTATTGCAGCAAGCTTGCAGGTCTACGAGCTCTGCTTCCCTCTTCATATCTCTCCTGGCACCTATATTCTG